AAAGAAACAACAACAACAGCAGCAACAACTGCAGTCCCATCAACAGCTATCATTCAGGCGATTCAGATAATGAGGACGACGAAGAGAACGACGAGGATGAAGATGATAGCAATCCGTCATCTAAAAAATCAAAATACAACAACGAGAATGAGTCTGAAAATAATCCAAAAACGTTTTATCCAACAGATGCATTCGCCAGCAAAATGGAAGCAAAGATGGTTCCACCAATTCACGACATCAAAGCAATGGCCAACTTCATGTTCAACCTCAACCCCTTCATGGCTGCCAGTATGGGTCTCTTCCCACCCGCTCTTTTTGCTCCAGCTGCTGGTGGAAAGCCAGTTTTCATTGAGAAAGACAAAACTGATGAAACGACAGCAGATGAAAAATCGTCGCCACCTCCTCTTGCTCTGCACCAGCAACTTCCTGCCCAGCTGCCGCAACAACCACAGCAACAGCAATCGTTGCACCAGGATCCGTTGAAACTTCTAAAAGACATGAACTTCATGAATCCGGATTTTTTGGCTGACATGTACAGAAAAGAAATGTACCAAAACTTTTTCAACAAATCCATTCGCCATCTGCCAAACTCACCGTTTTTTACGAACAACTCGAACCCTAGCAGCAACAATGGCAACGTTCTCAATAATGGATACGCTGGTCTTAAAAGTTCCATGTTGGATGGCTTCTTTGAGAAGAACTTCAACAGCAGCTCGAACGCTGACTTCAACAAATTTGGTCAAAAGATGATCAACAATGGCGAATTTGAATGCGATGTATGCAAAAAAATTCTGCCCAACCGTCATTCTCTTTCTTTGCATCTAGTCACCGCCCATAATATTTTCAGACCGCTGATACCCAATCAGAACGATTTTAGTGGCGATCCTCTGACCAATAGCAACCCTTCATCAAATGTTGGGCTTGTGATTGGTGGAAAGAACAGACTGGGTACGAGAACAGCTGGAGATGCTGGTCACACACCTTCGTCCAAACTGGTAGACCGCGTTCAGTGCGACATCTGCCAAAAAGAAGTGTGCAACAAATACTTTCTAAAGACCCACAAAGTCAAAGTTCACGGAATCGACCCTGCCACTTTGGAGCAACATGATGAAAGAACGTCACATTCAAAGCAGCATAACAACAATAGTAACAGCAACAACACTAACAACAACACTAATAATATTTTATCTAATAACACTAGTCAAAACAACAACAACATCAGCAACAACAACAACAACAACATGAACAGCATCAACAACAACAGCTACAACACCTCGCAACAAATGCCTATCAACTTTTCAACAGATCAGAAAAACAATAACAACCACGACAACAACAACAACAATTCCCCGCAACAACAACATGTTGAAAAACCTCGTGAAGAAGAATTGTTGCAGATGGGGATAGACCCTGAAGCGTACTGCGAAATATGCAAGAAGGAGTTCTGCAACAAATACTTCTTAAAAACTCACAGACAAAACATTCACGGTATCAAAACGACTACATCTTCAGCTACGACAACATCGTCATCATCTTCTTTTTTATCTAACAACAACAACAGCACAAACAACAACGTTTCGTCTTTCATGCAACAACAAAATTTATTTAAAAAC